CGCCCCGCCCTTCCCCGCGCGCTCTCCTCCCCCCGCTGCGCAGCGCTCGCCTGCCCCCTGCTGCCGCGGGGTGGACCCTGCAACCTGGGCCCTCCCCGCCTCCGCACGGCGCACCCCCCACCTCCGGATTGGCGGCTCCAGAAGTCTCCGGGCCGTCCGCCTTCCGCCACCGGATTGGCTGCGTCCCGGGACTGAGGCCCCGCCCATTTCCCCGGGTCCTTTGATCACGCGCCTGCCGACTCTTCCGGGGCCTGGGAGCCAAGCGAGGGCGTTCCTGTCCGGGCTGCAGCGGCGGGAGGTAAGGCATGATCGGGTTGGATGGGCTACAGAGCGCCGGTACGGGTCCACGTCTTGGGGTGCCGGGATTCCAGGATGCCCGGCCCCTCTGCGCAGCCCCCAGACCTCCCTCCCCCGGCCTGAGCCGCCCAGCGCCCTGGGAACTACCTCCCACTCGCCGATGCTGCTCCGCATCCTAGGAGCGGCCCGGCACCCGCCCCACCTCGGCAGGTCCCCTCGACCATGGGACGGTGTGCATGCGACTGGGCAAGCTCGGTGCTTCCGCGGACACCGGGACAGGTAGTTCATACCTTGCCCTCCAATGGAGACCCAAGCGAAGCGGGGTCGGGGACCTTGGGGTCTGTGTACAGGAGCCCATCGACAGTCTTGCATCCGTCGATGGGAGCTGACCCTCTCACCTCCGCCTGTCAGCCCAGGCTAAGAGGGGAGGGACATGGGCGGAGCCCCGGGTGCGGACCAGAGGGAGGTGACATCACCTCGCAGATACAATCCAGCCCTGCCCACTTGTGTCCACCCTGGCACGAGACCAATGGGGGAGAGGCTGTCCCGGCTCTGTCTGCAGTAACACCAGGGACAAGGAGGGCACAGGGAAGGCCTATAGCCTAAAGTGTGGGGATTGGACCAGGACTGAGGCAGGCTCCTTCAGATGCTCCTACCTCACCCCCTGGGCCCCACAGTGCAGGACCCTCATATTTTTGTCAGATCTCCCCCTTTTGCTCCGCTGGATAGGTGCTGGTGGCCCAGTGTCCTAAGGGTGGGAATAGGAGCTGGGAACGTGTAGCTAAGCTTTTCCCAGTTGCGATGTGCAAATGTTTGGCCAGCACCTGAGCTGGGCCCCACCCTGATTTGGGGATAGGAGCCGGGCAGGACTCGGGGCCTCCCCTTGGTGCCCTCTACACCCAGATTTCCCTGGAGTCACTGGAGGGTTAAACCTGGCACATTGACCTGGAGGATCCCTCGTCCCAGGGCCTGACCTAAGTTTTGATACACCACCAGCTCTTGGGGAGGGATCCAGAGCTTGGACGTCACCCTGGGTGAAATAGATAACCTCCCTTTCTCCTCCCCAGGGAGCCCATTGGAGGCGCCCTCCCGAAGCACTACTGCCCATGCTGACCCCCTGGCCCGGCGGCCGCCGATGTCATGAGTAACACCACAGTGCCCAACGCCCCTCAGGCCAACAGCGACTCCATGGTGGGCTATGTGCTCGGCCCTTTCTTCCTCATCACCCTGGTTGGGGTGGTGGTGGCTGTGGTAAGGAGCCCCCACATACACACATACGCACCCGCACCTCTGCTGGGGCAGGGCGGGGGGGGTCCAGCCTGCACAGGCTCAGCTGTCCTGCTGTGAGGGGTGAAGGGGGTAGAGGTGGGTCTCCTGTGGGCCATCCTGGGCTCAGCAGCCTCCACAGCGCCGTGTCTCTGTTACAGGTAATGTATGTCCAGAAGAAAAAGCGGTGAGTGTCCCTGTCCCCAGCGTTACCTCCCCTGCATTCGGCTTACCTTTCTTCCCATAGGATCAGGTTCTCCACATCCACGGTTGAGATGCCCCTTGGCTTTCCTTATACAAGCCTGAAATTCTCTACACCCCACTGTTAGGTTTTCCTGCCCAAACTGGGCTTACCCACCAAAGAGAGACCCCATCTAGAACTGGGCACGGATTCTCAGAATCCTAGTGTGCCCCCAGAGGCACCTGCTGGAAGTGCCCCTGCCTTGGAGAGTAGAGACAGGGCAGTCAGGTGTTGGGAGTGGGCAGCCCCTGGGCTGAGCGCCCTCCCCTGCTCCCCAGGGCGGACCGGCTTCGCCATCACCTGCTCCCCATGTACAGCTACGACCCCGCTGAGGAGCTGCATGAGGCTGAGCAGGAGCTGCTCTCTGATGTGGGAGACCCCAAGGTGAGCACTCTGGGGGCAGGGAGACTCAGAGGGCAGTCTGCTGCTGTCTTCTCATCCATCCTCCCCCTGAAACCCAGAGCCCGGTTCTACCCTCAGCCCTCCCCATTTGGGCCAGGGTTAGTGGGGTGCCCCCCCGGGGGTGCTGCGGCCTCTGCCCTGGACCCCAGCCCTGTGGCACCGTTTCCTCCCCCACAGGTGGTACATGGCTGGCAGAGTGGCTACCAGCACAAGCGGATGCCCCTGCTGGATGTCAAGACCTGACCTGACCCCCTGCCCTGCTCTCCAGAACCATGGGGTCTTGGGAGTGCCCGGGGCCTGCGGCTTCCTTCCCCACTTGCACTCACCCAGCTCCCCCTGCTGGGAACTGGGTCTCCTCTCCTCCCATCCAGCCCCGGCATCTCGCTCCTCCTCCCCCCCCACCCCAGGCCTTCAGTCTTTGGTGGGCTGAGCCTACCACCAGCTCCCCCGGGCTAATGAAAAGTTTTTCCTGCCCAGTTGGGTGGTTGGAGACATTTTCCTGGGCACCACCTTTCTCTTGAGCCTTCCCCAACCTGGCTTTGGATTTGTTTCCATGGTGACAGGGCCTAATGTATAGTATTCAGTATATATATTTTGTAAATAAACTGTTTTGTGGCTAGGGTGTGGTTGCTTTTTTCAAAAGAGGCTTAAGTTACCTTCCCTGGAGCTAATGCTTTTCCTCCCCCCTCCCCCAGCCTGAAGAGCTGGACAGAGCCCACAGGAGAGTCACCCCCACCAACTAGGTCCTTGGCTTCCACCCTTACCTAACCCCAGGGACCCACCATAGAAGGACTCTGGTCCAGAAAAGGTATTTTTTTTATTCAAGTAACTGCAAATAGGAAACCAGATGGGGGGGCCCCAGGCTGGGACAAATAATGGCTCCCTCCTCCCCGGCAGAACAGGGGGGAGAAGGTGGCCCTACACCCTCGACGGTCAATACAGGCCCCCCCCCCCACTCTGCTGCAGCATCCTAGGGGCAGGGCCCCACCTTCCCTGGGACTGGGGTGGTCGGTAACCCAACCTGTTCTGCCCCGGGCCCCTTCCCCTAAGAGCCTCTCGGAGGAGGGGAACGTGGGCAGAACAGGAGGCGGCAATGAGGATGAACATTTGGCGCTGGTCGCAGCAGCAATGACGATGTCTAAGAATGGAAACATTGAACGAAAACAACGCAACTGTCCAGAGGTAGTTTGTGAACAGAGGAAAAGATGGAACCAGAACCTTGGGGGGTGGGGAGGAGCAGAAGGGTGGGAGTGGGCAAGGCTAGCTCCTTGTTATTAGTGCCCCATGTGAGGAAAGGGGAAACTGAGGCCTAGGGTGGAAGCGGATGGGGTTGGGCAGGGGCTCCAGCCCACCTGAGGAGGCCGCCGCAGGGAACCTGGGCCTCCTGGACCTCACCTGGAGAAAGGGGGACTGCATTTCCCTCACGGCAATAGATTCCGGGGGGGGGGAGGGGAGGTGGGCTGGAGCCCATTCAGAGTAGGGGGCTCAGACCCCTCCTGCCTTCCCTCCTGTGCCCAAAGGGGGCTGTCCGACCTAGAGCAAGGACCAGGCAAGGGAGGAGGGAAGGAAAGTGGGTGTGAGCCGCACCTCGGGAGACACAGGCCGCTCGGGGGGCCTCCTGGGGCCGAGCGCCGCCCCCCAGTGGCCATGCCTGCTGTTGCCAGTGCTGTGGAGTGGGGCAGATCAGAATGAGACGGGGCACGGGCCCCTTTTAAGGCCAGGGGAGCCCTCCCAGGCCCCTTAGTGGGAAGCCAGAGAGAAGAATGGGGAAGCAGAAGGGACCCCCCCAAACCAAGAGCCCAGTCAGCAGCGTCCCCACCACAGAGCATGGGGACGCAGAAGGGGCAGGGTGCGGCGAGGTGGGCAGTCGCCTTTGTCTGGAAGGGCTAGTGTGCGTGAGGGTGAGGGCTCGCTGGAAACCAAGGGAAACTGCTCCCCACTCGGGCCTTGGGGCCCCGCAGCGGCTGGTGTGCTGTGTAGTGTGGTGCTGAGGGCGCAGGTGGGTGGCGGCGGTGCGTGGGCCTGGGGGGGGCGGGGGGAGCGGAGCGGCGCTGTCCAGTCCCAGAGGGAAACTGCTCCTCGGCGGCGAAGGAGCGGGCGGCGCGGCGCGGTCACTGCTCCTCCTCGGAGGACTCCTGCGAGATGCCCTCTTCTTCCTCCTTCTCCTGTGAGGTGGGCAGGCCAGTCAGCACGGGGGGGCGGGGGGGCCGGCCAGGGTGGCCCCCAGCACTCCCCGGGCTCCCTGGCTCTCCAGAAGGGGGATGAGTCAGGGCTGAGTGTGTGAGTGACTCAGCAACCTCCACGGCCCAGTTTCATTCATAAAAAAGGAAGAATTTAAAGGGAGGGAAAAAAAACCCCACACACATGCTGCTCTCGCCCAGAGCCAGGCCCCCTCGGCCCCAGGACCTGTGGGCGGGGGGGGGGGGGACCTGCAGAGCTCGGAGCCTCAACGGACTGGGGCAAGTGAGGAAGTCACTGGCTTTCTGTAGAGGGGGAAGGGAGAGGTGGCCGGGAAGGGGCAGCTGCAGGCTGCAGTGCAGGGGGACCAGGTGGCCTTGGCCCGCAGGGGCAGCACAGGGGCTGTGGAACAAGGCCAGGGCGGGGACGAAGGGGAAGTGTGTGCCGCCGAGGCTCACTCACTGGGCGGGAATGTCCGCACACCACACGGGCCTGCGGCCCCCGTGCCAGGCACAAACTCCAAAACAACTCGCTTCCTGTTACTCACTCCTGGGGCCCTGCCAGCATCCCCTAACCCCCCTCCTCACCCTGGTAGTGGCTCAGCTCGAGGAATGAAGGCCTCAGGGAGTTCAGGAAACAGGTTGGGGGATAGAAAAGGGCCAGGAGAAACAAGGCTGGGGTGGCCTTTAACTTCAGCATAGGCCCTAGAGGCAGCCTCCTGACTCAGCCCACCTTCCTCTGTTACCAGCTATTTGGGGGCTCAGAAACGGATGATGGGTCCCAGGTGAGGAGGTGCCTCCGTGTGGAATCACCTCTCAACTCCCACATGGCACTACCCACACCGCTCAGGGCCGAGCTCCTTTGCTGCCTCTTCCTCCCTACCCAAGATCATGGTGAGGACAGACCTCACCCTCTGCTCATGGAGCCTTCTTTCCTCATTTCTATTATGGGGGTGGGGGACGGAGACCAGATGGCCTCCAAGTCCCCCTAGAAGTTGAGTCTGTTCTAGGAGCAGAAGAAAGAGAAGGAGCCCCACCCTCCGCTAGGGCAGGGCAGGGGTCGAGTCTGGTTTGTACCTGGGACCCCTTACTTCTCATGGACACAGCCCTTTAAAAGCCCTGGGCTGGGTGCCAGGACACTGGGCCACACGCAGATCCCTTTCCCTCTCTAGACCTGGGGAGGGTGATGATGTCGCACTATTCCTGGCTCAGGTCAGACAGCCATCCTTCCCCGCTGAGCACACAGGACTCGGCATCACCCCTCCTGAAACGCCCTCCCCAGCAAACCACGCCGCCGCCGTCCCTTCACCTACCAGTTTTTTGGGTCTGCCCCTTGGTTTCCTCCCTGGAGTTGTGGTAGTTTTCTAGATGGCCAGAGAAAAGATCCACTAAGTCAAAAATGTCCCTGGGACAGTCTTCACCCAATGACCAGTGCCCCAGTGGGGAGGGGCAGACCTACCTACCTCTGCTCAGGGCAGCCTGGGACTCTCACCCCAGCAGGCCCACCCGACTCCAGCTGGTGATGACTGGCCAGCCACACTGCACCCCCCCCACATACACACACGCCCCCCACTCCCTCCTCCACCCATGACTCAGAGGATATGAGTCGTGTCTCAGAAAAAAATAAAATAAAAAACAAAACAACCTCTCTGAGAGGCTGCTGTCACTGGGAATCCAGCCTTCCCTGCTCATCCCCATTCCCTCGGGATCCAGGGGGACCCTGGAATGGAACATTCTCAGCGCAGGGACTGGTGGAACAGCCCCCCTTCCCTCTTCCCGATTCGCCCTTCTCTAGGCAAGGAGAGCTGTAGGACTGCTAACTTGATTTCCCCAGAAGTGAGGTTTCGGTCCTCACCCTGCCTTCCCCAATTAGCCAAGACCCACTGCCACCCATGTCAGGGAAGAGGGGGCGGGGGACCGAATCGGACAGGCCAGTGCCCTCCCAGACCTGCCCCCAGCTGTGGCCATGGGCCGAGGGGCCATCCCCATCCTGTGTCCTCACCCGGGTCTTGGCAGCACCCTTGTTTTTGCTTCCCTTTGGTCGGCCCCGAGGTCTCTTAGGTGTTGGCACTTCGCTGGGTTCCTTCTGCAAAGACAGATGGGGTAATCAGGGACCCACAAATGCCACCTGTCCCACCCCTTTCAAAAGACACAGCTCTCTCCCCAACCCCAGCAAGACTGAGTCAGCAAGCCAGCACCCCGACCCAGAAATCCACAGGAGCCATGGCAGGCAAGCCCTTGTGATTCAAGTTCTCACTGTAACCATCTTTTGCAAAGCCCCTCCCACACTTCCCTGTGACAACAAGAGGACAAGAAACCAGACAAGGGAAAGGTGGCATGGGGGCAGAAAGACCCTGTTGGGCAGCTTGGCCACCGCTGGGCTCTAAGCTCTTGGGCATGACATGGGATGCTTGGGCCTCGGTTTCCTCAACTGTAAACGGTGACAAGACTTAGCTCACAGGCTATCAGGAGACTAAATGAAGGGTGTGGAAGTGTCCAGCACTGGGCCAAGACACTTGCCTACTCTCTGTGGGGGATGCCAAAGAGGAGAAAGGATACCCCGCCACACTAGAGGGAGGCCTCCAGCCTCTACCTGCAAACTAGACTCCCCCCAGGCCACCATGCCTCCCAGAAAAGGAATTACGCCTGGATGTCGGAAACCAAGATCTCTGCCGTGGTTGCCGCTAAAATTTTAATAAGCCTGACAGAATAAAAAGCTGCTGCATAATGCATAGAAGCTGGGCAGTAAAGGCATGTCAGCTACGGTTTCGGGGTGGCTGCCCAAGGGCTGTTTAGAACCATGGTCCAGTAACCCAACACCCCCTTCTCGGACACCCCTCTGTGGACCCCAGCTAACAGGCACGAGGGAGAGGCCGAGGGAACCAGACTAAGAGAATGACTTCCCTCCACACACCGTGGGCTCTGGAAGAGGCAGCTGAAGCCCACTACTCAGACTCCTCATGGCTCATGTCTCCCCGAAGTCAGTACAGACCGCGCACTCCATCCTACAGATGGGGAAGCCCGAGGCCCACCGTGCCAAGAGCAAGGACTGACCTCAATTCCTGTCCTCTTCCCCGGGAAAGGGAAGTAAGCTGGGCCTCACCAGCCGCCGCCCCTCTGAGAGAATCCAAGATCTCCACCGCATGATAGGTGGCCCCCACAGCCTGACTGGCCAGGTTCCCTAGTGTGCCCCATGTCCCAGAGTGCCAGCTAACCTAACCCCATGGGACCACAGCGGGGGATGGCACCAGGGTTCGAGGATCACTCTCTCGCCAACTTGCCCACATTTTTAAGTTCTCGGGCTTCCATTTCCTTTTACAGAGCCGGAGCGGAGCCTGGCCCAGGGCCACATGAAGTGAGGCCCCCGGACAGGTGCCGGCCCAGGAACTTTCTGTTATGGGCCTGGGATGAGGAAATCCAGAAACTAACAGTTAAGTATTTAGAAATGTTTATGGTTAATGGACAGAGTAGTATGTGCAATGAGTCTAAGGATTAGAAACCGGAACTTATATGTATACGCGACTCATCTTTACCACGTTTTTATAAAGGCACTGGTCCATGACAGCCTGGAAGTAAAGGGTGGGTAGTTACCAGGGTGTGAGCCCCGGCCGTGTGACCACGAGGTCACTTCTGGCTTGGATGGTCTGGCATGGGCTCAGGGCTTCCAGCCCCCCGCCTCTCTCCTGGGGTCTCAGGAGCTGACCAGGGTCAGCATGTGCTGCATGTGTTTGGGGGACACACACACATACACACACACAGCAACGATTCTGCAGCCCTCTGCTCATTTTCACTTGCTGAGACACCTGGCACCTCCCTAACCCAAAGGGGTAAACCGAGGCAAAGGTTCGGACACCCACCTGACTCCCTACCAGCGCCGTCCCGGGACTCACCGGAGGCTGCTTGCGCGGCCTGCCCCGCCCCCGCTTCTCAGTGCCGTCCTTTTCCTGCTTGGAGGCCAAGGGCTGGCTGGACTTCGAGCTCGACTCGCTCATCTTCCCTTCTCTCTGGAGCAGGTGGAGGAGCGATGGCTGGGATGCTGGGAAGCAGGAGAAGTTGTTTTAAATGCAAGACCTTGCTTCGTCCACCTCCTACCCTCTTCACCATTCCCACCGTCAAGGGGCACTGTGGGACCCTGCCTGCTCCTGGGGATACTTGGGATTCCTGCCCTGCTGAGGATCTGGGGATGGAGCAGGGTCTGCCCGGGCCCAGCATGCTGCTAAAGGGTGGGGCTGGGCCGTTGGCCCTAATCAGCTCCTTATCTCCTGCTCAGAAGGGTGCTTTGTTGTCCTGCCACCCCCACAGGGCCCAGGCCCAAGAGGCAGACCCAGCTCAGATGTGCTTCTGTGGGTGAGGCCACCTGGACAAAGGTATAGATGGGGGGGCCTCTCACTGCCCTGGGGCCCCTCTCACTGCCTCGGGGTCCCTCTCTCTAGTCAGCTGCCCTTTCCCTTAAGAGAAAACCCAGCCTGAGCAGCTCACAGGCAACAAGGGAGGAAAGGTTAGCAGAGGGAATAAGCCCTGGACATCCGGCCGCCATGGGCACCAGCCCCCGGCCCACCTGGCCAACAGTGATGCCTATCCGCCATGGCCCAAGCCTCATGCCCAAATGTTACAGGGCCAACCTTGACGCTCCACACCAATGACCTGGCCCGGGTTGGTGCCCACCCCACCAGTTAGCTCTCCTCTCCGCTCTCTCCCTGGGGTAGAGCTTTGGGGATTCAAGGCTGGGAATAGTTTTGGGAAGGGGGAAGATGGTTGAAATTGTAGTGGAGGGAGGAAAACAAACCCAAAGCTGAAAGGTGGGTCTCCCCTTTCCCCTACCCCACCCACCACCTGGGGTCAAATGAGATCTTCCCCTTTAGTGCCTGCTTTCAGGAGGGACAGAATTTCTCCACTGAAATCCTTCTAACAGATGCTAGCTGCCCTCCCCCACCTGGCAGGGCTGGTCCTCAAAGCTTCTTGGTTCTTTTCTAGCATCTTCCCTCTTCTTAGAGGCTGTTTTGGGTTTAATCAGCCCCGCTAATTTTGAGTTTACCTAAAACCTCCCACTGCAAGGAGCACCTGGCACCCCATATTTGGGAGCCTCTTCCAGAAGCTTAAAAGACAGTGACGGTCTTCCCCCCACCCGGTCCAATCCCCCTTTGTCGTCCCAGTTGCAGAGCCACAAGACCTGAGAGACCCATGGCTCCACACCTCCCTGGTAACCAATCCCTGGTTGCTCTTGGGAAAGGGTGGGCCCAAGCGGCTTCACTTCTAAAAGACCTTCAATCTGTAAAATGGGGGTAAGGCTAAGACATCTCCCTCAACCACCTTTCCACACTGATGCCAAGGATCAAACCAGTTCATAGTGAAAATATGTCCACAACAGGAAGTCCTCACTCCAATCAAAATGAGAACTAGAACGTTCGAAAATGACTTTTCTTTCCCCTTTTCAGATTTTCAGACAATTTCCAATTTTAACTCAGCGAGAGGAAAAAAAAGTTTGTTTTTTGTTTTTTTCCCAAACTTGTGACTTTTGGAGGGCTCGAGGCCCCCAGCCTCAAGCATCAAGATTCTCCAGACGGCGAGACTTTGTCTGGTAACGATTCTATTTTACAATATTTCAGACTTGAAGACCCTTTTGAACAAGGTGGTTGGTGATTTACCCTGCCCCGTCATTAGTGGCTCGGCCTGCTCTGTAATTACAGGCAGTGATTAGAATCTTCTATTACACCACAGGTTCCCGTTCAAACTAAACATCAAAATTAATCAGCCGAAATGAGTGCTGACCTCACATGAGGTCTGTTGAAGGCCCCCTCACAGAGGGGGTTCCAGTTGGGCCAAGCTAGCCCCTAATCCCAGAGAGCCTGGCCCAGCATGCCTGGGAATCCTGGTGGGTCTCCGGGAAAGTTCTTGCATCATCTGGAGCTTCCCCCCACCTCTTACTACTGGGAACCCTTTAATTCACTCTCCGACCCCCCTTTCATCCAGGCCTCCAGGAACGGAGTGAAGGCCTGAGGCCCTCTCTGGTGAGACCAACAAATGCTTGTCTCTTCCACCTGTTTCTGAGTATCAGAGGCCTGGCTAGGCGAAGCCATGTTTAGGGCCCGACCTGAATCCTTGTTTGTAATAAGCCCTTCTGGGCCTCAAGCTTGTTCCCTCCGTACACCGTGCATGCAATGTGTATTCCTCAAATGCTTAGGGAGTCCACGAGAACGACCCTAGGAAATCATCATGGTGCTTCCTTGTTTTCCGGAAAAAAGTAGCCCAGAGAGGCCTGATAAGTTGCCCAAGGTCACACAGCAAGTTGGCGAGCAGGATAGCGTAAATTACTGGCGACCCCTCTAGCCCGCCACTTTCCTTAACCGCCGGGAGCCTGGTTAAGTGCCTGTCGCCCCCTGCTCCAGACCGGCCCCAGGGTGACTGTGCAAGTGTCTGCGCCGGGCCGTTGCAGCGCGGCCGGCGGGACTAGGGGCCAGAGCGCGCGGGGGGAGGGGCACGGGCTGCTCTTGCAGGCGCGGGAAACTGGTGCACCCCGACCGCATGCACCGCCACGCGGGTGCACCCGGCCCCACTTCCTGCCAGAGGGGGCACCCAAGCCCGCCTTGGGGCAGGAAACCTGGCGCGCGCGGGCGCGGGGTAGAGGAAGAAAGCCACCTCCCTCCGCGCCCTCCCCGCAAAATAAAGCCCCAGAAAAAAAAAAAATTGAAACGGGGAGTCAAAGGGACTAGTTCCAACAGAGCCCTGCAAAGCAGAGAAACCTGTTTGTGGGGGCGGAGGGCAGGCCCGGCCCTGGGGGCTGAAGAGGCGCGGGCCGGGCCAGAGGTGGGGTCGGGGTGAAGCCCCAAACCCAGGCCCGCGATTCGGCCTCATCTGCGTAGGGGGGACACCGGGAAAAAGGCCGAGCGGGAACAGGGCCGAATTGTGGGGTTCGTGCCCATCCCCCTCACTTCTAGAACTTCCCCAGGCTGCGGGGGGCGCCGGCCCCCCACTCGCC